GCCCCCAGCCCCCTCCTCCCTCCCTCCCTCCCAGGAGTCCAGGTCCCCAGCTCCCTCCTCCCTCAGACCCAGGAGTCCAGGTCCCCAGCTCCCTCCTCCCTCAGACCTAGGAATCTAGGCCCCCAGCCCTCTCCTCCCCAAGACTCAGGGGTCCAGGCCCCCAACCCATCACTTACCCATAGCTAGGGCAGGGCAAATCCTCCACATCATCTCAAGGAAGGAGAATGTGGCTGGCAGAATGAGGCCAACTACCCCTGCAAGAGAACCAGAGGGGACTGGGGCTGGCCCTCCTCGGACATGGAGGATGAGGGGCTGGGGGCCGGGACTCCTGGTTCTCACCCACAGGCTCCCAGCCAGCCAGAGCCTTCTCCTGGGTGTGTGCCTGGCCGGCGTGGTACTGGAGCAGCTGCTGGGCCAGTGGGACCTCCCTGTCTCGGATCTCTCGAACAGCCCGGCCAGTAGCCAGGGACTCCAGGGTCCACAGCAGCCGCTGGTGCTTCTGGATCATCTTGGCCAGTCTGTAGCGAGAGCAGGGGAATGGCCATTTCACAACACCTCTCAGCCTTAGACCACATCATCTGTAATGCACCCGATGTCCCAGGACTACAATTTCCATGAGTCCTTGGGGCATCAACCACCATTTTCCAGGGCAGAAGGCTCCAGAGATTTGTAGGATTTACAGTCCAACAAGGAGTCCCTGGTAGTGCAGGTTAACATGCTTGGCTGCTAACCAAAAGGCTGGTGGTTCAAGTCCACCCAGTGGTACCTTGGAGGAAAGGCCTGGCGATCTATTTCCGAACGATAAGCCACCAAAAACCCTATGGAGCACAGTTCTACTCTGACACACATGGGGTCACCATGAGTCGGAGTCAACTCTATGGCAACTGGTAAAGTCCGGGACGCACTCAAAACCTCAGGATGTTGTATAAATGTCGCAGTCACCTGTAAACCCCCTGAAATGCTGGGAAATTGGGTCTTATTCCCAAGAGTGTGCTGGGAAATGAGCTTTGGTCTCCACCAGCCCCAGTGAACCCCAAGGACATTCAGGGTGTCTTAGGCTGGGTTCTCTAGAGAAGCAAAACCAGTGAAGCGTGTATATATATTTCTATATAGATCTATCTCAAGGAAATGGTTCACGTGACTGTAGAGGCTGGCAAGTCCCAAGTCCATGGATCAGGGGTCAGGCTGGAGGCTTCTCCTGACTCATGCAGCTGCAGGGGCTGATGATGTCTGAACATGTCAGACAGCAGACAGCTGGCTCACGGGCCGCAGAGGCTGACGAATCCCAAGATCCGCAGGCAATATGGCAGGCAGGCTGTTACCTCAAGTCCCAAAACCAGAGGTCAGATGGTGACAAGCCAGATGCAGGATCCAGAGTGAGCAAAAACCAGGGAGCTTTGCCAGAATTTCCATATATACTGGATGCAGGCCACACCCCTGAGGAAACTCCTCTTACAACTGATTGGCTGATCCCATCAGATTACATCATGGAGGTGATTACATGATATCACAAAATGGAGGATAACTACATCATTACATAACCGCCAAATCACATCACTACATAATTGCCAAACCACTGAGAATCAGGGCCCAAACAAGCTGACACACAACCTTAACTGGGAAATAGAACTTTGCCAGTGGAAAGTGGGCAATGATTTTTTTGGCTACTGAACTCCCAAAGGCAAGCTGGGAATATGAGCCTTGCTGTGGTTACCATCAAATTGGCTCTGATTCATGACAACCCCATGTACGACAGAAATGTTGCCTGGTCCTGTGCCATCTACACAATCGTTGATATGCTTGCATCCATTGTTGCAGCCATTGCGTATTTTGAGTACCTTCCAACCTAGGGGGCTCATCTTCCAGCACTGCATTGGACTGTATTCTGTTGTGATCCATAAGGTTTTCACTGGCTAATTTTCAGAAGTAGATAACCAAGCCTTTCTTCGTAGTCTGTCTTAGACACGAAGCTCCACTGAAACCTGTCCATCATGGGTGACCATGCTGATGTTTGAAACACTGGTGGCATAGCCTCCAACACGAAAGCCACCACAGTCTGACAAACTGGCTGCCCATTAATTCAGTGGGAAGTAGTCTTTTTTCCACAGCTCCAAGTGGATGCTGCGGGATGAGTTCTTTCCCCACCTCCTGGGGGCCACACCTGGACTGTCTCACCTGGTCAGGTGCTGGGCCCGAAGGGCCCCAGTGAGGCTGCTCCAGTTCTCAAAGGCCACCTTGGCTGCCTCCACGGCTACGGCCACATCCTCGGCCTGTGCCTGGAGGCAACTGGCCAAACTCTCTCCTGGGGAGAAAAGTGGGAGACCCAGATGGGAGGACAGAGGGGGAGCCCAGGTCACAGCTGGGGTGGGGGTCTGAGATTTCCTGAGCTTGAGAGGGGCCCAAAGCAGAGAAGTTGGTCCCCAGCCCCCTTTAGGATCTCAGTTTTATTGTCTGACAAATGGGATGACAATTACTAGTCACTGCTGACCGCCTCCTATGGGAAAGGCCGGGATTTATTAGATTGTGACTTCAAAAAGCCTCTATGGGGACTTGGGACTGTGATTATTAGGGTGACTGTGATCAGAAGGAACCCCAAATCTCTGCCTCCTCCCACCACTGTCTGCTCCCTGACCTCTGAGGTCCAAGCAAAGAGAATGAGGTGTCGCTGGTGGGCACGGCTGAAGGGCACACACCTCCCCTTCCCCTAACGACTGGGGGGCCCCCCTACCTGTGATGGGATCCTGCCAAGGCACGGAACTCCTGTGTTCTGGTTTCAGCCACTTCCCATTTATGTAGTGACCCAAGTGTCGGTCCTGGGTGTCCAGCCAGGCCTGGGGAGATGGACACAGTTTGGAAAGCTTGCAGCGGGTTGTACTCGGGGAGGCAGCTGGGGTGACCCAATCCCTATCCAGCATCCTTCAGTTACGTTCTTGTGGGTATGTGGTGAAACACCAAAACCAAACCCAACCTGCTGCTATACAGTCAATTCTGACTCATAGAGACCCTAAAGAACAGAGTAGAACTGCCCCATCGAGTTTCCAAGGAGCGGCTGGTGGATTTGAACTGCTGACTTTTTGGTTAGCGGCTGAGCTCTTAAGCGCTGCGTCACCAGAGCTCCGTGGATAAACACACGTGATGTATAATTCGCCATTGTAATCACTGTAAGGAGTCCAGTTGGGCGGCATCTAGTACGTTCACCGCTCTCTAATTCCAGTACACTTTCATTATCACAAATGATAACCTCGTACCCAGGAAGTAGTCATTCTCTGTCTTATTATCTAGCGCTGCTATAACAGAAAAACCACAAGTGGGTGGCTTTAACAAACAGAAATTTATTTTCTCACAGTTTAAGAGGCTAGAAGTCTGAATTCAGGGCGCTTGCTCCAGGGAAGGCTTTCTCTCTCTGTCAGCTCTTGGGGAAGGTCTTTCCTTGACTCTTCTGAGCTACTGCTCCTGCTTTATGTGTCCTGGCATCTCTCTTCCCCCATCTCTCTCTCTCTCTCTGCTCCTTTGTTTAAGCTCTTTTCATATCTCGAAAGAGACTGACTCAAGACACACCCTACACTAATCCTGTCTCATTAACATACAAAGACAACCCATTCCCAAATGGGATTATAACCACAGGCCTACAGGTTAAGATTTACAACACATATTTTGGGGGGACATAATTCAATCCATAGGGAGCCCTGGTGGCACAGTGGTTAAGTGCTTGGCGGCTAATCGAAAGATCAGTAGTTCAAACCTACCCACCCCCCTCCGCGGGAGAAAGATGTGGCAGTCTGCTTTCATAAAGATTTACAGCCTTGGAAACCCTATGGGGCAGTTCTACTCTGTCCTATAGGGTCACTATGAGTCGCAATCAACTCAACAGAGACTCAGACGGTTTCAGTTTGGTTTAATTCAATCCATAACACTCCCCATTTCCCCCTCCCTCAGCCCCTGGCAATCACTAATTGCTTTCTGTCTCTACGGATTTGCCTGTTCTGGACATTTCATGAGTTAGAATCGACTCACGGCAATAGGTTTGGGTGGGACACTTCATATATGTGGAATCGTACAATGTATGGACTTTTGTGCCTGGCTTCCTTCACTCAGCAGCACATTTTCAAGGTTCATTCACTTGTAGCCTGTATCAAAACATTCCTTTTTACGGCTGAATAATACTCCATTGTATGGATATGCATTTTGTCAGTCCGTTCATCAATTGATGGACATTTGGTTGTTTCTACCTTTTGGCTACAATGTTATGTTGCTGTTAGGTGCCATCGAGTTCATTCTGAATCACAGCAACCCTATGTGATAGAGTAGAAATGTCCCATAGGGTTTCCTAGGCTGTAATCGTTACACAAGCAGATCTCCAGGTTTTTCTCCCACAGAGCCGCTGGGTGGGTTTGAACGGCCAACCTTTCAGTTAGCAGCTGAGTGCTTAACTGTTTGTGTCATTAGGGCTCCTTACAATAATGCTACATATAATAATATAAATAACGCTACGAACGTTTACATACAAGTATGTGCTTGAGTCCTGGCTTCAATCCTTTTGGGTCTATACATAGGAGTGGAATTGCTGGGTGGCTCAAATAGGTAAGCACTCGGCTACTAGCTGAAAGGATGGCAGTTTGAACCTACCCAGAGATGCCTCGGAAGACAGACCTGGTGATCTGCTTCCTAAAGATCACAGCCTTGAAAACCCTACTGAGCACAGTTCTACTCTGCATACACGGGGTCGCCACGAGTCAGAAACGACTTGATGTCAACTAACAACAGTGTAATTCTACGTTTAACATCCCCATGATTGGTTGTGGCTTAGACTATCGTTACCCACAGGGTTTTATCGGCTGATTTTTGGAAGTAGATTGCCAGGCCTTTCTTCCTAATCTATCTTAGTCTGAAAGCTCTGCTGAAACCTATTCAGCATCATAGCAACACGCAAGCCTCCGCTGACAGACAGGTGGTGGCTGTGGCTATGCATGAGGTGAATTGGCCAGGAATCGAACCAGGGTCTCCCACATGGAAGGCGAGAATTCTACCACTAAACCACCACTGACCCCTACTACTGAAGTTCTTGCTATTAATTTTATTGCCTCTCACTCTCCATGTCTGCCCCTTATTCCTTTCTTTTCCCTGTTGCAAAATCCAAGGCACACTTCTCACTTCTTCCTCCTATAAACGCCCTCTCCTCTTAACATCCCCCTTGCCTATGTTGATGCTGCATCCCCTAATTTTTCTCTTACTCTGCTTACTGGTCCTTCTCACTTTTCTTTCAACTAAAATGGTCACCAAGAAGAGAAAGACATATTTTTTAAATAGTTGGGGATATTTGAACTTCAACTGGGTACTAAAACCAGTAAACCAGTTGCTGTCGAGTCGACTCTGACTCATGTCGACTCCATGTGCATCAGAGTAGAACTGTGCTCCACAGGCTTTTCACTGGCTGACATTTCCAAAGTAAGTCACCAGGCCTTTCTTCCAAGGCACCTCTGGGTTGACTCGAACCTCCAAACTTTCAGTTAGCAGCTGAGTGCGTTAACCATTTGCACCACCCAGGAATGGGTGTTAGATGATATTAAAGAATGGCTGTGCACGTTGTTAAGGGTGATAATGGCATTGTTACGTAACAAAATGGGTCCTTATCTGTTAGCAATGAAGATTCAAATATTTACTGGAAAAACAACATGCCATCTGGGATTTGTTTAAAATACTCCAGAAAAAAAGAAAAAATAAGAGGGAAACAACATTGGATTAAGTGTTGATTATTTCTGACGCTGAGTGATGGATAGATGGGAGTTCATAAAATTAAACACTCTGTGGAAGTTCGGAAATTTCCAAAAAAGAGAAAAACAACCCGTAAAGAACACCCACAGGGTCACCCCAGGTCATCTAAGTTTCAGAAGTGAGCTCGGTGGAGACTGGGAGATGCAACGTGTTTGAAAAGACAGCCACTATTGGAACCAGATGATTTTTGTCTGGGAATGTGAGCCAAAGGTCACCAAATTTTGGGATTTTATTTTCAAGAGATGCTGGAATCCCGGATGTTTACTTGGAATTAGTTGTTCACTAAATCATGTCTCAAAAAATGAAGTTGAGGCCAAGGAAAACATGTTTGTTGGTTGAGTCTAGTAAGGTTGGGGCCTTTGGTTAAGGGGTGGGTGGGAAACTTGGGTTCTGGAATCAAGGGCTCTGGAATCCAATGGCTCCAGAACCTGAGGGCTCAGGTTAAAATCTCAGCTTTACCTTTGTGTTGACTGTGGGCAAGTGACTCTATCTCTTCAAGCCTCTGTTTGTTCTTGCTGGTGTTAGTTACTGTTGAATGATTCTGATTCATGGCGACCCCCGGTGTGTAGAGTAGAACTGCTCCATAGGGTTTTCAAGACTGTGACCTTTCAGAAGCAGAGTATCTGGCCTTACTTCCGAGGCACCTCTGGGTAGGTTTAAACCGCCAGTCTTTCGGTTAGTAGTCTAGCGCTTAACCATTTGCACCACCCGGGGACTCCAAGTCTCTGCTATCACTAAAATAATGACAATAACAGTATGTACCTTTTAAAGTTGTACAGGAGATTAAATGAGATCAACTTAGCACACAGCCTGACACATACAAAGCACCCCATAAATATAGCTATTATCACATTAGGAGTCCCTGGGTGGTGTGAACCATTAACGTGCTGTGGTGGGATGGATGGCCTTTGTGTGGACTTTCTAGCCATGGTCTTATAACTCCTACCCAGGTGACTGGGCGGGACTACGCAGATATGGTAACTGTGGCCCACCAAAGTCATTGGTCAGTTTTTGCCATCCCACTGGGCTTGAGGTGGACTGGAGGAAAGAGAGGATCCCATCACCACCAAGGAAGAACAGCCAGGAGCAGAGAGCACATCCTTTGGACCTGGGATCCCTGCACTGAGAAGCTCCTGGAACCAGGAGACAGAGAGAGGGAGCTGTAACACTGAAGGCAGCGGAGACATGGCAGGGCAGCAGAAGGTGTGGTAGGCTTCCCAGCCCACAGAGAGAGAAAGTTGAGTGCCTTTGGGCAGAGGCCTAGGGCCAGGGAGAGGTGTGCCTTCGAGTATGGCTGGCAAGAGGCTGTCCTGATGGAAGAACTGTATCCTGAGTGTTGCTGAGCCTGAACTGTAACCTGTTACTTCCCTAATAAACTCCATAATCGTGAATATTGTCTGTGAGTTCTGTATGGCTATTGCAATGAATTATCAAACCCAGCAGAGAAGTAGAGAGTGCCGTGGGAGCGATGGTTGATGTCAGAGTTGGTAAAGATAGCAGAGAGAAGAGGCATGTCTGACCTCCGCCTCATAGGAATCAGCCTTGGGCTGCTGATCTTGATTCTCCTTCCCCCTTGTGAAGTTAGGCAAGGTCAGACACTGTCCCCACATCGTTTTTTATGGTGCTGACGTTTTCTTTGTTCTTCTTACTCTCCTGTGCTGAATTACTTTTGTTTGTGGATTTT